AAGAAGACGCGGGAAAATAAAATAAAAAATAAGACGCGGAGGGGGCTTCCCTGGTGGCACAGGGGTTGAGAGTCCGCCTGCCGATGCAGGGGACACGGGTTCGTGCCCCAGTCCGGGAAGATCCCACATGCCGCGGAGCGGCTGGGCCCGTGAGCCAAGGCCACTGAGCCTGTGCGTCCGGAGCCTGTGCTCGGAGGAAGGGGGGGAGGATATCGATTGCTGGAGAAACAATCAATTTGGCATTTGCATTTAAATATAGCTTTGGTATTTCATTTATTCAGTGCAATCTCCATGAGGTGTAAGCCAGCTGGGGAAGGCAAAGCTTGGTTACCTGAGTCAGAATGGGTCCAGGAAACCGAGGTCAGCATCGCTCCAGTCACAGAAAGGACAGCGAGGCCTCCATGATCACGAGCACGCTGGTCTTCTAGGAGATGATGCGTCTAGTGGCTGGTGGAGAGGAGCAGGACGACGGGATTAGAGGAGGAGAGAGAACCCTCTCAACCACGGTGGGTGTCACCTCTGGCCTGACTCTCTAAAACATAAAATAATTCTTCAGCGAAAAAGTCAATTGCAACGGTACCTCTTTATTTCTTGGACAGTTATTGAAGCACCGGGTCTTTCGTGATGGAGTGTTCTTGAAACTGCCTCATGGGGCATAAAAGGACCCAGAGATTTGAAAATACATGCCATAGATATTATGAGGTTATCTTATTTTCCTATAGCTGCCATTGAGACATTTGTGAGATCATTTTAGTTTACTTCAGCTGCCACTGAAACACTTGTCTATATAAAGGAAAAACATCAGAGCACCAGGAAGCCTTCAAGGCCGCCGTTCCACCATGAGAACCAACCTTGATCCTCTGGGTAGACCAGGTATACAGGCTGCAAAGTCAATGACTCCCTAGTCTGTTGTTGTAAAATAAAATTACGCTGGCTCTATTCCTGGAGAAAAAGATGCCATCTAGCTAAAGCTCACAAAACGGGCTACAAGTTTGGAGGATACAGTTAACCTATAATCTTACAAAATAGAAAAGTTGGTACACGAGATAGATGGCATAATAATTTCTAACGGAAGATTTTTTTTGACCTACACATCAGGGAAGACACAGCAACAGGCTCTCTAATGAAAGGAACGGTGTGAGCCTATGAGCTTTAGTGTGAGAATGTTAGGAAATAAATTCATTCTATCAGGGGTTCTCAAACTGTGGTCCCTGGAAGGGCAGCATCGGTATCACCTGAGAATTTGTTGGAAACGCAGATTCTTGGCCCAACCCAAGATCTACTGAATCTGGAGGTGGGGCTCAGGGATCTGTTTTAACAAGCCCTCCAAGGGATACGGATACATCTTAAATCATTAATTTATCCACCCATCCAAAGACATTGAGTCCATTGTTAAAAAATAAAATTACCCTACTCTACTGCATGTTAAGCTTCAATTAAGGGCCAAGTATTGGGCTAGGGATTGGGGAGGGAAGAAGCGTCAGAGAGAGAAGATGATGAAATCCCTGCCCTTGAGAAATGTATTGTCCTCTATGGGAGATAAAACAGGTATACAGGCAACTCAAATACAGACCGTGTTATTTTCTCTAACAAAGAGTTAGAAGGTTTCAAAGGAGACATTTGTTTCTGATTGTTGTGGGGAGGCAGGTAAGGGAAAGCATCAAGACAATAGTAACGGGACTTGAGATCTGCACAGGATTTTGACAGGCGGGAATAGGGAAAAGCTGAAGCAAAGGCCCAGAGGTGAGAAAGCATGAGGGCTATTCAGGTACATGGAGGAACCAGGTCTGGCTGATATGTGAGAAACTTGGAGGGTGATCTCGGTGAGACATGGTTACTGCCAAGCACAGACACGTAAATGCTAGGGGCCCGTTGCTTCTCTTTCTTGTATGGAGACTACTTAGCAGCGCCTATGGCTTATGTTTAGAAACTGACATCTGATAAACCAGGTGATTTAATAATTTCTAAGTCTAGTCTGCTTTTCTGTACGTTTTGAACTGCTTTTTCTAGAGGGGAGCACCTCAGCTGCTTCAAGGATTAACTGCTGAAGGTTTGCCCTGGAGGAAGACACAAAAGAAAATTTCAAAGCAGGTGTAAGAATCCGGGTTGTCACAGTAGCCTCGGGCCATTCTGCAAAGGGGCAAAATGTTACCACACCTAAAAAGCCCCTGAAGGCACTGATGGTTTTAGCTTTATAAAATAACTCAAGTGGAGAGGGGTGTGCCTCAGTCAAAAGGAAAAGTTAAACCAGGGACTGGGAGAAATGGGTGTAGGGATCAAAGGGTACAGACTTCCAGTTATAAAGTAAGTCATGGAGATACAGGATGACTATAGTTAATAAGACCGTATTGCATATTTGAAAGTTGCCAAGAGAGTAGATCTTAAAAGTTCCCATCACAAGAAAAAAAAATTTTTTGTAACTATGTAAGGTGGTGGATGTCAACTCGACTTATTGCGGTAATCATTTTGCAACGTATACAAATATTGAATCATTGTGGTACACCTGAAACTAATAAAATTTTATGTCAATCACACCTCAATTTAAAAAATTAAAACATGCCCTAAAAAAGTTAAACTAATACTCAACACTTCTAATTAGGGAAAAAAACTACTTTTCATGATCAAGAAGGTATGGCTTTTGCTTCTAGAAAACTTACAGAAATAGAAGGCTTTATTTCCTGGTGCTGCTAGATGAATGATGAAAAACTGAAAATGTTTTTGATGTCATGTAAGGCTCTGATGGAAATGAAGCTGGATTCAGAATCCATTGTTCATCCCAGTTCTGCCATTTAGCCATCTGTGTCATTAAGGGCAAGGCACTCAACTTCCTAAACCTCAGTTTTTCATCCATCAAGAATTAGAGGGCTTCCCTGGTGGCACAGTGGTTGAGAGTCTGCCTGCCGACGCAGGGGACGCGGTTTGTGCCCCGGTCTGCGAGGATCCCACATGCCGCGGAGCGGCTGGGCCCGTGAGCCACGGCCGCTGAGCCTGCGCGTCCCGAGCCTGTGCTCCGCAACGGGAGAGGCCACAACAGTGAGAGGCCCGCGTACCGCAAAGAAAAAAAAAAAAGAATTAGAGACACTGACTTGTCCCACCTTTGAAATTTAAATAAGAAAACAGACAAGAAGTTGCTCTGAAAATTATAAGGTACAATATTACACAGGGGTATATTTTTATTGTATATATAATTATACTATCCTACTCACTGAGACACTTGGGTACTAATCAATACTTGTTACTGCATTGGCCTTTGAAAATATAAAAGTAAAATGTTTCTTATGCCCAGACTCTCCTTTTAAATATTTGCAGATAGAGCAGTTCTAAGGCACAAACTTGGCATCAACCAAACTGTCCTCCCAAGAAACATTTCAAGGTAAATTTTTTACTTCTAATTTTTTTTTTTAAACTTTTATTCCTCTGACCTCGCCAGAGCATCCAGATATCTTTCAGCAGCTCCTGGTGAGCACGACTCAGTCTGCAGCAACACAGACATATGACGGCGATAATTTATCATCTCTGCAGTAGTTTAGTCCCAGATGGACCATTTACTAATTTATTTCCATATGTAACTGGCAGAAAGATTAATCAGGCTTCCAGCTCAGAAACCTGAATTGTGCTTCATTCCCTTAACAGACTAACTCTGGACCAGAGGAAGTAAACCATTTACATAGAAAACCAAGAGTTTCTCTTAAAAAGCCTGTCGACCCTAGACACAGGCCTTTAAACACACACACACACACACACACACACACACACACACACACAAGGCCTGCTCCTTATGTCAACTTGTAGGGCTGGTTCTTTCTTTAGATACTAATGGACTTCCCATAGGAGCTGTGTCTGATAGAACTGCAGGCAGAAGTAATGCCAAATCAGGCCCAGTTGCAGCTACAGTCCCCTCCCTGTGTGCAAGCACGGGGTCTTGTATTTCTGAAACTGAACAGATCTTTTTGCCATGGTGCTACACCCAGCTGGCCGGCTGTGCAGTGCCCAGGCACTGGAAACTATGTGCTTTCTTTTTTCCACTCTTTTTAAGGGTCTGAACTTGACTGAATCCAGCAGCTGCCGTAGCTTCAGCAAGGCGATGGCTAATGAATTGTTAGCATTGCTCTCAGTCCCCTGAGTTCAACTCTCAGTTCTCTTTTGTTTTTAATTCTATCCCAGTGATATCAGCCTTGAGCAAAGAGTGGTTAATGGAATTATTGTTGGATGACGGTGTTTATAGACAGAAGGCCAGCCAATCCCAAAGCGGGGCAGAAAGGAAACTGACTGGTTATATCTTCAGTGGAACCCAAGGCCACAGCCAGGAAGGCTCAGGAGGCAGGACCACGTAGAGATATTACCGGCTGGATCCACACACCTGGGTCACTAAACAACCACGTGGCTTCGGAAAATTCACTTACCGGTTCAAGTTCACAATTCTCTCCTCTGTAATATGATTTTAGCTCCCTAAAGTTCCTTCTGGTTCTAAAATCTTTGATTCCATGAAGATGAAAAAAATATCAGCCAATCACCTGGTTTCCGTGTTTAGATGATGCCAAACAGCCAGAAGTTTGGAAGCATCCGAAAGTAGCTGAATTGGTCACGATGCTCGGTTCTATGACAGACATAGACTTAGGAATCTCAGTATCTAACAGTCCGTCTTTGAGGAGATTGTTCAATGATGTATATCTTTGCAAGTGTTTAAGAATTCAATGAAAAACAAGTTTGGAGTACTGTTCTAGGTATGGCAAAAGCTACAGAAGTACCTAAATCAGGGTCCTGTGTCGTTTTGTTTTGTTTTGTTTTGTTTTGTTTTGCTTTGTGGTACGCGGGTCTCCCACTGTCGTGGCCTCTCCCGTTGCGGAGCACAGGCTCCGGACGTGCAGGCTCAGCGGCCATGGCTCACGGGCCCAGCCGCTCCGCGGCATGTGCGATCTTCCCGGATCGGGGCACGAACCCGTGTCCCCTGCATTGACAGGCGGACTCTCAACCACTGCGCCACCAGGGAAGCCCGGTCCTGTGTCTTTGATACATTTACATCACAGTTCAGAAAAGATACAACTCATCCTAATATAGTGAAATAAGTGCTATAATTTGAAGACCAACTGTTATGGGAGCATGATGGAAAGGATGGAAAAATCATCCCAGTGAGGGTGACAGGGGGAGATCCGTAAGGTTTTTTGGAGGAATTGGAGTTGAAGCCAGGAAAGTGGGAGGAAAGGAATCTGGGCAGAGACAGCAGCAAGAGCAAAGGCCTAGAAACTTCCCCCACGAGGCCAGGATATAGTATTTATTACCCTAGGGCAGGCCCCGGGATGCTCAAGAAACAGACCTAGTGACAGAGAAGGCTGGAAAGGGACTAATGGTGGAAAGCCCTGGACACCAGCCTGGGGATTGGCTCTTACCCTGTGACCACTAAGA